GATGGGATGGGGTTTAATTTGCCCACCCATCCTACTGTGGAACCCACTCACTCTTACTAGGTTTTGGCATGTTTTTGGGTTACAATGTGAGTATAGGCATGATGCACAGATAAGAGTCTGCTAGCCAGGAATCTAAAAGTTTTAGTTAGTTGACTCCTAAGAAATGACACTGTTTTATTAAAGATAAAAGAGTTGTGTGTGGGAAGCAAAATTTTGAAACAATGCTGAAATTTATATGTAAAAGACCAAATATAAATTTCAAGATTCCATTATTTTTTTCCACTGAATAGTACTCCATTGTGTAAATGTACCACATTTTCTCTATCCACTCTTCAGTTGAGGGGCATCTAGGTTGCTTCCAGTTTCTGGTTATTACAAATAAGGCTGCTATTAACATAGTTGAACAGCTGTCCTTGTTGTATGAATGTGCTTCTTTTGGTTATATGCCTAGGAGTGGAATTTCTGCATCTTGTGGTAGACTGATTCCCATTTTCCTGAGGAATCTCCATACTAATATTTAAAGTGGCTGTACAAGTTGGCACTCCCACCAGCAGTGAAGGAGTGTTCCCCTTTCCCCACATACTCTCCAGCATAAACTGTCATTGGTGTTTTAGATTTTAGCCATTCTGACAGGAGTGAGATGGTATCTCAGAGTTGTTTTGATTTGCATTTCCCTGATGGATAAGGATACTTATTCTTAAGTGTCTTTTAGCCATTTTAGAATCATCTTTTGAGAATTCTCTGTAACAAGACTCCAATACAACTTTAACTCTCATATCACATTCTTGTGCTCTACTGAGCCAACTAAAGCTTATCATTGTGTGACTACAGAAAATATGTTTAATAAGCACAATCAATAATTGCAAACTCAGGAGATCTTATCTCTCACTCTGAGGCCTTTGTAGAGGTTTGTGGTTAAAAGTCTGAGTTAAAGAGAATAAAATCACATTGGTAGTCTGTTTTACATCCTCTGCACTGTGTGGGGTCTTTATATATCTCTTTAAAGCTTTTTTCAACCAGAGCTAATACAACTGTTTGTAGAGTCCTAGCTGGGCAGGTCCTAGGCAGACAGACCATCTGATACTTAGAAATAAAATAGTTTGGATATCAAAAGAATCAATTTGCAAGTAGAGTCTTAATGAGCTGTCATGAATTCTTTGAGGAAGGACTTTCTCTAGAGATTTTCTTCTCCTTTTCCACCCCACCCTCCCTCCTCTACCCAGTTCCTCCTCCTCCTTCTATTGCTTGTTTTTTGTGATAGCATCTCACTCTGTAGCCAAAGCTGGGCTGGAAGTCACTATGTAACTCCAGGATGGCCTTGATCTTATGGCAGTCTTTCTGCTCCAGCCACCTAAGTGTTGGGATTATAGGTAGGGGCTGTCATACTGGCTCCAGAGATTTTAACAGTCTCTAGAAAAAAGGGACACAAATGTTCTTATCTTTTAAAAAAATTAATATAAATTTAAAACCTCACATAATACAAAAACTCTGATTTTACTTTTGAGAAGAGTCTATTGGTATAACAAATATAACAACTATTATTAAAAAATATCACAACAGCAGGTAATGGATTTGAGTCTGATGAGAAGAATTTTGCTCAAAACATATTGCTCTGTGTGATTCAGAGTGAATGTTATCTATATGTGTCAACAGAAGACAAATAGATATGGGTAGCAAAGCAAGTGTTAGATAAAATTTTAAGACATCATTAGGATATAAACAAGCAGATTCCCATTTGTATTTTTAACTTAGTTGAAATGTATATCATTGGTGCTTGTATTAAAAGTTACTAATATGTGGTGTTTATTGATATTTGTGTGGGTTAGTACAATGGCTGTTCTGGGGCCCCATTACCTGTCCACACACTGGACAAGTTAAACTATTACACACTTCCAGGGATTTAAAGAATCAGTCAGAATTAAACCTGTCTGGGCCTCAGTAATCATGAAAAGGCCAAGAAAAACATCGATTAGCTAAGCAAAACTTTTTGAATCTGGTATCTACAGGCAAAGAACTTTATTCTTTAGATCATTTCCTAGTTATGTGACATGTAATCTTGGGGAAAATATTCACAGTTTTGATTCCAGCTTAACTTGATGTATGCAAATGTAAGATAAATAAAAGTGAATGCATGCATCACTGTGAGTAAATTTTAATCATCATTTACTATTTGCCAGGTGCTGTTGTAGATACTTGGAATGGAATTGTAAATTACCAATGAAGTTCTCTATATCAAGCTTATATCATAGTGGAGGTAGCCAGGCAATAAACAAGTAAATACACAGTCAGACCTGATTATTTTATACAGTGGTATTTTCTCTCTGAGGAAATATGTCAGAAAATGACTTATATATGCACTTTGGATAGGTTGACTCTGAAGAAACATTATTTTGGATAATGAAGACCAAACAGTCATTTATGGAGAAGACTGGGCATAAGCAGGCAAGAGTGAAACCCAAAAGTTAGGCAGCTTTACATAGAAGGGGTGGAGGAAGCGGGAGGAAGGAGGAGAGGGAAATGTAATTTAGACCAACTGTGATTAAAATTGGAGTAGAAAGGTTTGGTTGGTCATAGGAACAAAGGGCAAAGCTTTCTTCCTGTTGACATACTTTTAGCAGTGGTCTTGAAAGACTTGGCACTTAGCAACCACTTTCCTGATTCCATTGATTGTTGCTAGGAGCACTTTAACTGTGGATTGAACTGATACTCTTTTGTGAATTCAGGAAGTTGTGTGACCTGAGGAAGAAAATTTAATCTGTCTGAGCCTTCGTCTGTGCATAGTAGGCTTGTTGCTTTGTATGTAAGTCCACCATGGCTGACTGTATATGTGTGTGTGTGTGTGTGTGTGTGTGTGTGTGTGTGTGTGTGTGCTACTGGGAAGTAGATCAAATTATAGGAAACAAGGGATATGAGATGAGGGTATTTGTAGGATGTTCTGGACATGGACAAACAATGTATATAAGAGTGTATTGAGCATTGAGATGGTATGAGAAGAATGTGATAAATACAGTAAAAACAAGAGCAGAGGTCACATTTTGGAGGAAGGTTTTTATGTTTGTTGGCATGTGATGAAACAAATGTGAGAGGAATCAACAAAGAGATGGGTGAGAGGGATGCTTAAAATTTAACTACTTCAGTGACAGACAACTAACCAAACAGATTCGACAACTCACGAAACAAATCAGATTCTGGATATATATGTTGTTGCTATCATGCCAGTAATCCAGGTTAAGTATTAGACACGGAGATAAGAATATCCAAAGAGAGTGGAGGAAGTAATTTGGCTTCTTCTGCAATTGTAAGACACCAGTATGTTCACGTTCCTTAAACTGCCTGTCCATTTGTCTACTAAATGCTTTTCATTGTTGCAAGGGATTCTCTTGCTGGTCTGTCTCTCTCCAATGAGCTCTCTCTCTCTCTCTCTCTCTCTCTCTCTCTCTCTCTCTCTC